TGTTGTTTGTTTGTTTGTTTGTTTGTTTTAGATACAGGTGGTTAAACTTTTTATTTGAAAGATGTTTAAAAGTATATTGGATTTGATTAGATTTACTCTCATGCTGATGTTTAAACTATGAACCATGTAGAATGGTGTTCTTTGTGGTTTTACTTGTTTGGGGGATGAGACTTTTTTCCATGTTTTTTATCCTATACTTCCACTATTTTAAATTTTATTTTATTTTTGTTTCATAGACATATTTTGTTTTATATCACATTTGTTCATGAATATATTCCTTCCCCCATCCCTCCCTGGTGAATCAACCCTTGTAACAAAGGCAAAAAAAGGCAATGCAACAAAATCAATAAGCCCATTAACCATTTTTAACAATTCATGCAATATCATATACCCATAATCCCTGCCAAGAAAGGAGGGAGTTGCATTTTCTCAATTCTTCTATAGGGCCAAATCTGGTCATTTTACTGATTGCATTTAGTTCCTCATTTTATTTTTATTATTTCCATCTGTTCTGTGGTAGTCTTCATGCATATTGTATACCTGGTTCTGATTACTTCACTTCGCAACAGTTCATATGCCTTCCCATACTCTTTGAATTCTTCATTGTCATAAACATATGATCCTTACACAAATGACTGATTTTTTGACATATGTTTTTATTTTGAATTCTTAACTCTCTCTTTCCCTTCAGTCCCTTCCCCTCCAATAGAGAAGGTAAACAATATGATATCAACTATGGATGTGAAGTCATGCAAAACATTTCCGTATTAGCCATGTTGCATACCACCAAAAGCAAGAAAAATAAAATGAAAAAATATGCTTCAATCCGCATCCAGAATTCATCAACCACTCTCTTGGGAGGATAGCGTTTTTCGTTATGAGTCATTTGAAAGTGTTTTGGATCATTATATTGATCAGAGTAGCTAAGTCTTTCACAGTTGATCATTGCTGAAATATTACTGTTACTGTGCATAAATGATCTCCCAGTTCTGTTTACTTCACTTTGCTTTAATTCATATGTCTTCTCAGTTTTTTTCAAACCATCCACCTTGTCATTTCTTACAGCAAAATAGTATTCCAATACAATCATTTAACACAACTTGTTCATCCATTCCCCAATATATAGGCATCCTCTCAATTTCCAATTTCTTACTACTGCAAAAAGAGCTGCTATAAATATTTTTGTACACGTAGTTCTTCCCCCTCCCCTTTCAATTTCTTTAGGATGCAGACCTAGTAGTGCTATTGCTGGATCATAGGGTGTGTACAGTTTTATAACCCTTTGGGCATAGTTCCAAATTGTTCTCCAGAATGATTAGACCAATTTGCAACTCCATCAACAATGCATTAATATATCTAGTTTTTCCAGAACCTCTCTAGCATCTGTCATTTTCCTTTTCTGTCATGTTAGCCAATCTAATGAGTGAGATCAATTCTAATTTGTGTGCCTCTAATTATTAGTGATGTAGAGTATTTTTTTCAGATGACTATTGATACCTTTAATTTCTTCTGAAAACTTCCTGTTCAGATCCCTAGACCACTTATCAATTGAAGAACAGTTCTTATTTTTATGAATTTGGCTTAGCTCCCTATATATTTGAGAAATTGGCCTTTATCAGAGGGACTTGCTGAAAAAAATTCCCCTACTTTCCTTCTTTCCTTCTAATTTTGGCTGCATTGGTTTTGTTTGTGCAAAACCTTTTTAATTGAATGTAATCAAAATTATGTATTTTACTTCCCATGATCCTTTCTATCTCTTGTTTGATCATGCAATCCATAGATCTGACAGATAATTTTTCCATGCTCTTATAATTTGTTTATGCCATCTTTTATGTACCCATTTTGACCTTATCATGATATACTGTGTGAGATGTTGGTCTGTTCCTAGTTTCTGCCAAAGTGCTTTACAGTTTTCCCAACAATTTTTGTTGAACAGTGAGTTCTTGACCCAAGAGCTTGGATCTTTGTTTTTTTCAAACTCTAGATTACTATAGTCATTTACTTCTGTGTACTTGATCTATTCCACTGATCAACCACTCTATTTCTTAGTCAGTACTAGATTGTTTTGATGATTACCATTTTGTAATATAGTTTGAAATCTGGCACTGGTAGATTGCATTCCTTTTTTTCTTTTTCATTGATTTCCTTCATAATTCTTGACCTTTTGTTCTTCCGGATGAATTTTGTTATTATTTTTTTCTAGCTCTATAAAATAATTCTTTGGTTGTTTGGTTGGCATGACAGTGGATAAGTAAATTAGTTTAGGTAGAGTTTTCATTTTATTATATTGGCTTAGGTACCCATAAGCAATCAATATTTCTTCAATTGTTTAGATCTGTCTTTGTGCGACAAATGTTTTGTAATTGTGTTCTTACAGTTTCTGAGTGTGTCTTAGCAGGTAATCTCCCAAATATTTTATAGTGTCTGTTGTGATTTTTAAATGGAATTTCTATTCTTATCTCTTCCTGCTGGGTTTTGTTGGTAATATATAGAAATGTTGTTAATATATATAGGTTTATCCTGCAATGTTGCTGAAGTTAGTTGTTTCAACTAGATTTTTTTAGTTGATTTTCTATGGTTCTGTAAGTATGCCATCATATCATTGCAAAGAGTGATAGCTTTGTTTCCTTTTTACCTATTCTTATTCTTTCAATTTATTTTTCTTGTCTTATTGCTATAGTTAGCACTTCTAGTACCACATTGAATAAGGTGATAATGGACATCCTTGCTTCACCTCTGATCTTATTAGGGAGGCTTCTTCTTTATCCCCTCTACAAATAATGCTTCCTCTTGGTTTTAGATACATACTATTCATAATTTTATGAAAAGCTTCATTTGTTCCTGTGTTTTAATAGTAAAGAGTATTTTATTTTGTCAGAAGTTTTTTCCTACGGCCATTGATATAATCATGTGATTTTTGTTGTTTTTGTTATTAATATGGTCAATTATGCCTATAGTTTTCCTAATATTGAACCAGCCCTGTATTCCCAGTATAAATCCCACCTAATCATAGTGTAGGATCTTTGTGAATTGATGAGTGATTGAATGTGTTCATAAGTCTACTTGATTCATTCATGTAAGAAGAATGTGTTAAACCTGCCTAAGTTGTACAAGGTCACTTAATTTTTACAACCTGTTTCTTAAAGGAGGAATTAAAGGTGACTTGTTTAGCTTTTGTTTTCTGAGTTGAATTCCAGTTGCGCGGCTACAGAAAGTTAGAAGCATCTGGGCAAATTCCAAGGTCATTCAAAAGAAGCTTAGGAATAGGTTTGAAGCAGATTCTTGGTCTAAGATTCAGTGCAGAGCTATTTGGAAGGTCTTCATCAGTCTTCTAAGGCTTCTCAAAAGTAAGCACTTGTATATCCCTTATCTCTCAGTTCCTCCTAGATGCTGTGTTTTCATTGTTTGAAGAAGGTGCTCATATTGATAGATATTCAACAAGGCATCACTGTAATGATATTTGGTCGAATAAAAAAGGAAAACGGACCAGAAATAAAAATAGCTTATCAAATGGTTGGCATATTATTTTATTAGAAAATGAAGTGAAACAACTTAATGTGGTGATGCACATATGTTTGATTATGTCTTGTCAATTGTATACTTAATGCTATCAAAAAAGAAAGTTTGAAGTTTTGCTACACTTTGTCGTGTTAACTTTGAGATAACAAAAATAGGAGCCAAACCCTGATACCATTTAATTGTGTTTTCATACAGTATTTCCATGTAATTCAATGGATGACATAATAGATATTTGATTTTTATTTGTTAGTTATTCCTATAATCGGGAAAAGAATGCACTTTTGTGGATCTTCCGGCAATTTGGTGTAAAAACAATTGAGTTTCCCTGTCTTCTTTCATTGTGAAATGAATTGCAAACCTGCTATAGTATCTTAGGATGGTTATCACTTGTGGGAAAATCTTATGAAATTTTTCTTGTGGCTTAGGAAATCCTTGACAGACTGAGAGAAAAATATAAAAAATATATTCATCACTTTAAAAAGGAAAAGAAAAACTACCCACTATTATTCTATTTCCAAGCTCAAAGAGTTTCACAAATTTTAAAAACAGAGTAAGTATTCAAGGAAGAGGGGGCAACTCATTAGATAAATTGCCTCCATACTTTTTGACTCAATAAAGACAGGATAAACTAAGAGCTTTCCTTAGAGTGCAAAAATGGCCCAAATAAACTTCTAGTGATCTCTATTGACACATCACTCTGCAATGGCAAAAATAGGAGCTTAGAAAGTCCTTATTCTGTGAGTTCATACTATCAAGCCTAAAATTATTTTTAGGAGCTTAGAAGAGAAGGAACCATGCCTTCCTGTTGTCAAATACTTTAGGACTGATGTAGATACTAGGAAATATTAGAAAATATGCATTCAAACATGAAGAGGGTCTTTTTCTTAATTGAGAACAAATTATATAGAGGGATAGAGAAATATGGAAATCAGAGATGGTAACTATAATCAACATAGAGACGCTAGAGTGCTTTACTTTGAATCTCACAACTTTGTGAGGTAAGTGCATTATTATCCCACTTTGAGGAAACTGGGACTCCAAGAGTCTTCTGCCAGTCATTGAGACAGGATTTGAACCCATCACTGTATCCACCATGGCATGGTTTTCAATATAGCTAGGCTACATAGCTTTCTATAAGATTTCGTCATTGGGGATGCGCTACAGTAAGTGTATATTATTTCTGTGCGGAATTAATGTAGAAATGGTGGGTAATGGTCAAGAAACCTTGCCCTTGAAACAACAGCAGAAGTCGATGGAATGCACTGTAGTCTGGAACTCCTTAACGGAAAAAAGAAAAGAAAAGGAAAGAAAAGAAAAGAAAAGAAAAGAAAAGAAAAGAAAAGAAAAGAAAAGAAAAGAAAAGAAAAGAAAAGAAAAGAAAAGAAAAGAAAGGAAAGGAAAGAAAGAAAAGAAAAGAAAAGAAAAGAAAAGAAAAGAAAAGAAAAGAAAAGAAAAGAAAAGAAAAGAAAAGAAAAGAAAAGAAAAACCACTAGTGGCTTCTCTGATGCTCTGGGAAGAGTAAAAAAAAATGAAGAGAAAAAATTAAGGGATTTGATATTTCAAAACATTGAATTGCTGCATTGGGCAGAAGCGGAAAATAATTTTTAGCTGGATATGCTGCGTCAAAGACTGCAGTTTCCACTAACGACTCTGAGCGCCGCTGTCGGACAGCACAGAGGCAGAGCTGAAATAGATCCATTTACTAGAGCTTCCTGCTGGGCGATTCTCTGCACAGTCACAGGGATCACATCTTAAAGGAGAGTGTGTATTCAGTCCCTGGCACTAGCTACACCGGAGATCCTGCACGGATCCGTCGCCACACACGGTAGGGGTTCTTACCTTTAGTTGCAGAGATTCTTAGAATCTCAGTAACAGCTGGAAACGCGAAACCAGGCCTCCCTGAGTTGGAGAGAAAACTGGATAGATAAAGAAGAATGGAAAACCAGGCAGACAGAGTACTGAAGCCGCAGGTACTGTTTCCCTTCTTGGTGTCTTTGTTCTGTCTAGCGCTTTCTGAGCAAATCCGCTATTCTATTCCAGAAGAAATGGCGAAAGGATCTGTGGTTGGGAACCTTGCTAAGGATTTGGGGCTGGAGGTCCAGGACTTGCGGAGTCGGAAACTGCGGGTTAGTGGAGAGAGAGAATACTTTACTGTAAGCTCAGAGAGCGGGGAACTAGTGATCAGAGAAAGAATAGACCGAGAGCAGCTATGCGAGAAAAAGCCTATGTGTGCCCTCGATTTCGAAACAGTCGCTGAGAATCCACTAAATTTTTTTCATATAACAGTGGAGATAGAGGATATTAATGACCATTCACCACAATTCAGTCAAGATGCCTTTGATTTGCAAATAAGCGAATCTACTCTGCCAGGGGCCAGATTTATTCTTGTAACAGCACAGTATGCAGATGTCGGCATCAACTCTCTTCAAAAATACCACCTCAGTCCCAACACTGATTTTTCACTAGTGAATAAACAGAATAAAGATGGCAATAGGTACCCAGAACTGGTATTGGAGAAATCCCTGGATCGGGAGACGCAGAGTTCTCATCAATTGTTCCTGACTGCTGTGGACGGTGGAAACCCTGCTCAAAGCAGCACCGCTCAGATCAGGATCAAGGTCACAGATGCTAATGATAATGCCCCAGTCTTCAGCCAGGACGTCTATAGAGTCAGTCTTCCAGAGAACCTGCCCCGGGGCTCCTCCGTGCTGCAAGTGATGGCCACAGACAAAGATGAGCTGGTCAACGCAGAAATCACCTTCTCTTTCCGAAGCACAGGTCAAGACTACTGGCACGTATTTGATCTAGACGTTAATAGCGGGAAAATTACAACTGCAGAGAGTATCGATTTTGAAAAAAACAAAGACTACTCATTGGTGGTGGAAGCAAGAGATGGAGGTGGACTGGTTACTCAGTGCACAGTTGAAATTGAAGTTTTGGACGTAAATGACAATGCTCCAGAGGTTGTATTACAATCCATCCCCTCTGTAATTCCAGAGGACATTTTGCCCAGCACCGTGATTGCATTGATCAAAACACGTGATAAAGACTCTGGACCCAATGGAGAGATCTCTTGCAAAATAAAAGGTAATGTCCCATTTAAAATATCCTCTTCTTCAAAAAACGCTTACAAATTAATGACAGATGGGCCCCTGGACAGAGAACAGATTCCAGAGTATAACATCACCGTGATTGCCATAGACAAAGGAAGCCCCTCTTTATCCACCAGCAAAATCCTCACCCTGGTTGTTGGTGACGTTAATGATAACCCTCCTGTTTTCCTACTCCCTTCTTATGTCGTTTACGTCCCAGAAAACAACCCCTCTGGAGCCTCCATTGCTGGAGTCTCGGCCTCTGACCCAGACCTAGGGGAGAATGGCCGTGTGTCCTATTCCATCATCGGCAGTGACCTAGGTCCTGTGCCACGATCCTCTTATGTGTCTGTCAGTGGCCACAACGGGGACATTTTCGCTCAACGCTCATTGGACTATGAGCAGGTCCGAACCTTCGAGGTGATTCTGCAGGCCTGTGACTTGGGCTGTCCCTCCCTCTGCGCCAATGTTACCCTGCAGGTGTTCATCTTGGATCAAAATGACAATGCCCCAAACATCCTCTACCCTACTTTGGATCCAGACAGCTCAGCCCTCTTCGACATGGTCCCTCGCTCAGCTGAACCAGGCTACCTAGTCACCAAGGTGGTGGCAGTGGATGCTGACTCTGGACACAATGCCTGGCTGGCCTATCACATATTGCACACCACGGATCCGGGGCTTTTCAGCCTGGGGCTGCGAACAGGTGAGGTCCGGACCACACGGGCTTTAACTGAACGAGACTCTATCCGACACCGACTTCTGGTCTCTGTGCAGGACGGGGGGCAGCCCCCAATGTCGGCCACTGTAGCTCTGCACCTGGTCTTTGCAGACAGCCTGCAGGAGGCTCTACCTGAGATGAAAGAGGAACACTCTGATACATTATTAGACCCTCAATCTGAGTTACAGTTCTACTTGGTAATAGCTTTGGCTCTAGTCTCAGTACTATTTCTTGTCACAGTGATTCTGGCCATCACACTGCGTCTTCGGAAATCCTCCAGTCCCAAAGTGTGGGGTTGTTTGCAGCCAAATATTTGCTCTAAGTCTGGACCCAGTCTTCCCGCAAACTACAGCGAGGGTACTTTGCCTTACTCCTACAATCTCTGTGTGCCCACGGACCAGGGAAAGACAGCGTTTAACGTCCCCAAATGCAATGGTGCCTTAAATCCAGGACAAGATCTCCTTTCCTTTGATTTATTTCGGTCTTCATATCCTCCTTTTGGCGTCAGCGATGCAACTTCCTACCCTGAGACTCTAGTTATGGTGAGCTTTCATTTGACTATCTTTTCTTTTTCATTGTTGTGTTCAATTTCCACATTTCCTCCAAAATACTTATCATTACCATAGTTTGGACTCATTTCAGAAAAGTCATAGCCTATCACAAAGCTGTAATCTAGTGATCTTGGTTTTGCCATTTCAATCTTCAAAGCATTTTATTTTTCCTTGCCAAAGCTGCACATTTACTTTATATTCTGCACCCACCGGAGTGTGGGTAGTTTGATAAATTCAAGAAATAGAGTAATACTTGTCTTGAGATCCTGAAGAGTGGCTCCCTCCTCCTCGAGTCACCAAATCTTATAGGTGTGAGAAAACAGCTAGTTATTTTAAGGTTTAGCACAAATGTTAAGATATTACTAAATATCTTTCTTCTCCTTTAGCTCCTATCCCTTTCCATCGTTACAGTAACTAAAAAGACCTTTTGTTCTTTATTCTCACTTACTGAATTTGTGTCAGTTTGCTGTTCTTCAAGTTTATTCCATGCAAAATGCATTCCAGCTTTTCTTTTATTTATTTATTAAATTTTATTAAATATTAAAATTTTTTTAGCTATTAAATATTTTTTTAGCTGCTAGAGGAAAACATTTCTATGAAGGAAAAATAAGGATCATTATGTTTCTATCAATATATACAACTCCCTACCCTCATATCCATTTTTTCTTTCATTCCACAAGCAGAGTTCAAAAAACCTAACTAGTACCTTGTTAAGTGGAGACCTAAGCCCCTGGGGCTACATTAATTCTGACCATACTTTCTCCCTTCATTTCTAATACATACCCGGAGCCATCCTCTACCTTCGCTTAACTCTAAGGTTCTTTATTTATTAGGTTTTTGCTCTTTGTGCTTAGTAAAGATTCCACCTCTTGACTTTCTTGTGAACTACCTAAAAGTGGAACACAAATTTTCAATAGTTACCTTAACAAAAAATAAACAGTCTGCATTATACATTCTTACAAGGGAACAGTAGAATTATGACACATAGTTCTTTTTCCTCCTTTAAAAAATGTTTTTATTGATGCCTTCTGTTTCTTACACCATCATAGTAATCTCAAGTATTCCTCCCCTCTCCCTCTCAGAAAGTCATCCCAAATAACAAATTTTTACGTAATTCTTTAATATACATTTAATGTGAGAGTATCAAGTTTATGTGATTTCTACTTGCTCGAATTATTGAATCCCATCAATTTGATGGCTCATAATATGAACTACCAATAAAAATATATTTAAGAGAGGCAGCATGGTATAGTGGATAGCATAAAGGTTTCAGAGTGTGGAAGACATGGGTTTAAATTCTGCCTCTGACCTATACTGAATGTGTAACCCTGTGTAAGTCCCTTAACCTCTCAGTGAACCCAGACAACTCACTAAGACTATAATTTGCAGAACAGCTGTGGTAAAGGGAGTTCCCTACAGCAATTGAAATGATAGGTCCAATAAAATATTTGTTAAGTAATCTTTCAAATTGTGCCTCTAAATGACAATTTAGGATTGTAAGAACAGAAAAAATGCACTCTGTAGTTTCTTCTGAAAATTATTTTAGAAAGAAAAGAAAAAAAGGACAGTCATAGTAAAACTGTCCTCCAAACAATATTAATATCCAACAATGGTGGCTAAATTAAATCCTTAAGTACAAACCTGTGGTGTTGTATATTTAAGAAGAGTTGGATTTTTTTTATACTCATACTAAGACCGAAACCCCTAAAAAGGGTTAGAATATTTAAATTACAATTTCAGAAAGAGGCGAAGAGTAAATTAAAAGTATTACTTTCGGATGAAATACACCGGAGGAACAAAGAAGTCGCTTCCTGAAAATGTGCCAAATATGAATAGAACGTTAGAGTTTAAAGTAGGACCAATAAACATTTTATTGGAATTTAACATTTAATTATACTAGAGAGATTCATCTCCTTTTGTCCTCCTCTCTGCCCCAAAAACAAAAGAATGGTAACTTCCTACAGAATAAAATAGGTAAGGAAAGAATGGGGAGCAATGTTATGTAGCAAGAAACAAAGCATGTAATGAAGTTTGGCTCGTTTTTTCTTTTCTTTCCAACGATGTGCGCGAGAGTGTAGTAATTGGTTAGGACTCTGGGCGCCGCTGTTCACCAATTAGGAAGAGAACTACGTGGAGAGCTCTAGCACAACCCACAATTCTTAAAGCACAAAACCCCGGCATATCAGATACACACAGTCTGGGGCTGCACAGAGACTCGGTCCCTGTCCCTCCAAGTTCGGGGCTCAACCTTTGGATACCAATAGCTTGCGTTACAGAGGATACAAGAAGTGATCTACACACAGTCTGCATTACTGGAAGACGATAATTTGTCAGCAAGAAAGCGATGACTGCTTTTCAGAGACGCTGGGACTGCAAAGGGCGAGTGCTGCTTTGTTTTCTCCTGGGGATTTTGGGGAATAATGGGGCCACGCAGATCCGCTACTCGGTGCCCGAGGAGATGGAGAAGGGCTCTTTCGTGGGCGATGTGGCCAAGGACCTGGGGCTGCAGTCGTGGGAGGTGGCGGAGCGCGGAGTCCGCATAGTCACCAGAGGTAAGAAGCAGCATTTTGCTCTTAATGTCAGAAGCGGCAGCTTAGTCACCGCGGACAGAATAGACAGGGAGGAGCTCTGCGCTCAGAGTGCCCAATGCCGGCTGAATTTCAATGTGTTAGTGGAGGATAAAGTAAAACTCTTTGCAGTAGAAGTGGAAATAACAGATATTAATGATAATGTACCGAAATTCCAGGTAGAACAAGTAGAAGTTAAAATCACTGAAGCTGCAGCTCCGGGAATGCGATTTCCTCTTCCGGAAGCATTTGATCCGGATGTGGGGATGAATTCCCTCCAGAGCTACGAGCTGAGTCCCAATCACCACTTCTCTCTGCTTGTGCAAAGCCGAGCTGACGGGGCCAAATACCCAGAGTTGGTGTTAGAACGAGCCCTGGACCGGGAGGAGAAGCCTGTTCATCACCTTATCCTCACGGCCTCGGATGGGGGAGATCCAGTGCGTTCCGGCACAGCTGAAGTCCGCGTGACTGTTCTGGATGTGAATGACAACGCGCCAGTGTTTACTCAGTCTGTGTATAGCGTGAGTGTTCCCGAGAACGTGCCTAGGGGGACCCTTCTGCTCACCGTGAATGCTACTGATCGAGATGAGGGAGTCAGTGGAGAAGTGACCTATTCATTCCGGAGACAGAATGAAAAAAAACTACAGACATTCCAGGTCAACGCAAGGACTGGGGAAATAACAATATTTGGAGATCTAGACCACGAAAAGTCGAACTTCTATGAAATAGAAATACAAGCTGAGGATGGCGATGCTTTTTTAGCAAGAGCTAAAGTGCTGGTTACCGTCTTGGATTTAAATGACAATAGCCCAGAAGTGACTATCACTTCTCTATTTAGCCCAGTGACAGAAAATTCTCCCCCAGGGACCGTAATTGCCCTTTTAAACACGCATGACCGAGACTCGGGGGAGAACGGCCTTGTCACGTGCTCTATCTCGGAGAATCTTCCTTTTAAACTAGAAAAGTCAATTGACAGTTATCATCGTTTGGTGACAGACAGAGCCCTAGATAGAGAGAAGGTTTCTGCGTATAACATCACCATAACAGCTATAGATCAGGGAACTCCACCCCTGTCCACAGACACTCATATCTTCCTGCAGGTAGCAGACATCAACGACAATCCTCCCACCTTCGGTCAGGCATCCTACTCTGCCTACATTGAGGAGAACAACGTTAGAGGGGCTTCCATTTATTCTGTGACGGCCTGTGATCCAGACAGAGAAGAGAACTCTCATGTCACCTACTCTATTGAGGAGGACGTCTTCCACGGGGCACCTCTATCCTCCTATATCTCTATTAATTCAGAGAATGGCATCCTCTACGCTCTGAGCTCCTTTGATTATGAACAGTTCCGGGACTTGCAGCTTCGAGTGACAGCTCGAGACTCGGGGAATCCGCCTCTCAGCAGCAACGTGTCTCTGACTCTATTCATCCTGGATCAGAATGACAATGCCCCAAAAATTCTGTATCCTATCTTGCCCACTGATGGCTCCACAGGAGTGGAGTTGGCTCCTCGCTCTGCAGAGCCAGGTTACCTGGTGACCAAGGTGGTGGCAGTGGATAGAGACTCTGGCCAGAACGCCTGGTTGTCCTACCATCTACTCAAGGTCACAGAACCAGGGCTTTTCTCTGTGGGTCTACACACTGGAGAAATCAGAACTGCCAGGGCTTTCATGGACAAAGACACTCTCAAACAGAGTCTGGTGGTGGTGGTCTCTGACAAAGGGGAGCCACCTCTGTCTGCCACTATCAGTGTTACAGTGGCAGTGGCCGACAGCATCCCCGAAATCCTCTCAGATCTTAGCATCCAAGAGACCTCCTCTGACCTCGAAGACTCTAGCCTCACACTCTACCTGGTCATCGCTGTCGCTTCAGTTTCCTCCTTGTTTTTTGCCTTCATCATTGTCTTGCTGGCACTCAGGATATGGCGGTGGCGGACCTCCCAGCTCTTAGGCTCAGGCAGTGACTATTTAAGGAGTGTCCCTGCTTCACAGTTCATGGGCATCGATGGAGTTCAAGCTTTTCTCCAGACTTATTCTCACGAGGTTTCTCTCACCACTGACTCTAGGAAGAGCCATTTGATATTTCCCCAACCCAACTATGCTGACACCCTCTTAAGTCAACATAACTGTGAGAAAACGAAACCACTCTTAGTGCCAGAGGATTCGAGGTGTTCCGTTCATGATCCTCCTTTGACCCCCGTGAGTTTGTGTTCTCATCTATTTTGTTCTTGCTTCTTCATTATCTAACAGGGTTGGTTTTGGCTTGGTTTGTAGTGTGTGGTTTAACAGGAATTGGGCAAGGTTTCCTTTGCTTCTATTCAGCTTTTCTTGAACCTACCATGTTATTGAAATGCAATGAATGTGTTGGTATCTGCTTCATTCATCTGGTATTTTTGTTAGTGCCCTATATAATAATTATTCA